GCACTTTTAGGCTAGGCATTTTGTGCCTATGCCAATGCCCATGCCGGTGCCTTGAAATTTTTGGGTTGGCATGGGCACATGTCGGGTTTGCAGATCCTTAATCGATATTGACTTAACGTTAATATTCCTACGTAAGTAATCTGATATGTATATATGGTATATGCCTATCGATAACATGAATGTGGATTCTGTGACTAGGTATCCATGAATAATATTTTTTTAGAGCCGATTTCAACTATTTCGAAAACCTTGTTTAATGGATATACATACTAACAAACCGATTTTATAATCAAATAAAACTTAGTAAGATCAAACTCAATAGTAAAATAAATTGTTACAAAATATTGTAAATACACAATTCAAAATTTTGTATTATAAACTTAAGCCAAAACAAAATGCAAAGTTAACTCAATGTACATAACAACTATATAACATTAATTGCATTTACATAATAACTATACGTATAACATTAATTGCATTTATATAACAACTATATAACATTAATTGCATTTCTAGTCTTCGTAAGTGCATGTTCGAACATTATGCCCATAATTTCCACAATTAGCACATTTGTTTTTATTTTTTTCTTGTGTTCCATTATTATTTGTAATAGGATTGTGCTTATTGTTTTGAGTATTTGTAACATGCTCTAGTGAACTCTTGTAGCGCTTAGGTGGGCGACCACGACGTTTTGTCACGAGCGGATTAGTAATAGCAGGTTGTGATTCAACATTGCTAACGTCCTTATTTTCTTCCAAAAGTTTTAACTCATGTGTTTTGGATAAAATAAATTCTTCTATTATATCAAAAAATTCATCATCGCAGTTAAGTCGTATCATTAGACTAAGTGCTTTCTTTGCTATTCCATGCCCTTTAGACCAACGTACTTTCTCATTAGCAGATTTTTGCAAGGAAGGAGTAAATACATTAGGAATACGGAAACGAGACAAATGCCGAAAATCAATTATGTGAGAGATATCATCACTATTATGTGCTGAAGATTCAGTAGATTCACACAATTTAATAGGTTGTTGCGAAGCAATCAAATCCTTATCTTCACTTATTTTACTATTTTTATACCAACGGGCCGATATTAAGGAAATGTGAAATATAGCATGATGTGATTTCATTAAAACCTTTATAAAATGACGACAAACGATTCCTTTACTGACCAAAGTAAGACAGGTACATAAATGTGTGCCATCTGTAAGTATTACTACATGGTGTCTAAAGTGGCCTTGAAATGATCCCTGAGGTACTACCATCCAAATCTGCATGACATCTTCAGGTTGTAGGGGTTGCAATAATGCCTTGAGGCATGTTTGACACCGTTCATAATCATCCTCTAAATATCCATTCTCCATAATATCTGGTGTTTCTGATATATTATTATCCCATTCATATAATATTTCAGAAGCATCATATAAAAAGCTCTCAGATAGTTGTTGCCGTTGAAGCGAAAGAATATGTGGGGTCAAATATTCCCGAATTAGGGAATCAATAGAAGGGAAGTATCGATTAGCAATATGAGGTAAGCCTATAGATGGATTGATATTTTTTTGCTCATTTATTCTGGCATATCGTGCTTTTTCGTCCAAACGGTTTTGTATAGCATCAATTAGGTGTAACAACGTTGAACTATGTGATACTTCCTTCTTAATAATCGCATTCATTCCTATAAAAAAGATTATACATACAATTATTACACGTAGGCATTGTTCAAAAAAATGTTTAGACAAAATCAATTTTCCGAATGCCAGTACAGTATTTGAAATTTTTAGTAACATTAGGTATAAATATTGTAAAAAATCAGTATATGTTCAGAAAATCGAAAATCTTTAGAACATTGTTTATAAAACATACCCTCAACTCGTTGAGTACTTTGAATACCAGCAGTAAACCTTGACTGTGTGTAGCAGACTGCCCAACTCTGACGCATAGGATAAAGCGTTTCAAGTGCATATCGTAATGCCTTAGGAAATGGATTAATAAATTCTATGAATTGTGCCCAACGACTCTAAAAATCAACTTCACACAAACTATTTCGAGACCGGTAAAATAGCTTGTAACATTCATTAAATTTTTTGCCCATGATGCCCTTTAACTTTTTAACAAAATTGATATTTATATGAAAAATACAGTAGGAATGGTGTGTATTAGGCCATATATTTCGCAAAGCTGCGCCCATTGCTGGATCAGCATCAGTGTAAACGGTCTTTGGAATAACTCGATTTGTCACCTCATTTAATTGCTCCAAAACCCTAAAAAATTGTATCATTATTAAATAAATATTAGAAAAGACAATACAAATAAATAAACGAAAAGAGAATGTTAAATAATAATACAGAAAAACGGTAAATGCGAACAGTAATACAAAAACAAATAAGTAAAAAAGAAAAATGTTGAATAGTAATTAATACGGAAAAAGGTGAGTAATATAAATAAAAGATACATTGAGCTCCGATTATATCGATACTCTCCAGAAAGAAAAAAAAAAGTACATAGGTTCAAAATTTAAAAAAATTCATTATTATGCTAATACCGTAATTTGCCGTATATAGTACCCCCGTGATAAAGTACTCACCACCCATTTTTTACTAATAATTTTTTTTTTTTACTAATTGACTTTGGCTATGAATGTAAGAGACCCTGAGTACTATATGCGGCAAATTATAGTTTACAGTAATAACTGAAAAAAAAGTGAACATGAATTGTAATAAATAATATAATAATAAAAGAAACAAACCATTCAAAAGAAGCCTGAGTTTCATCTTCTAGTAAAGCCTGTGCGACGATACGTGAACGGGTATCATTATCTATGATTAGAAAAAGACACAACGGCATTTCATAACGATTTGTTTTGCAGGTATTATCAGTGATTACAACATCATTGTATTGAATCCATAGTGATACTTGTAAAGGAGACATCCAAAAAAGGGCTGTTAACCTATTTTCTTCACCTTCAATATTAGGTATAACTACCCATTCTGGATCATCTGCTTTCAATGCTATTAATTTTTGAAGGGTTTCTGCAGCATCATTTTTCACTTTATCACGTGATGGTATTCGAAATCGTTGAATAGCATTATATAGATCTTTCTTATCTATATACTTGTCTTGATATTTTGCTTTCAAAAGATTATATTGCATTTTAGCACCCATTCCCTCCGCAGAGCGTGTATAAAATTCTATGTCATTTAACATTTTATTAGACAATTTACGAAATCGTGGTGCTGTCTGAACAATTATAGGATTCATTTCATGATTATGTTCATCAACTAATGAAGTACAAACTATCTGAGTAGTATCCTTTCGATTATTAAAATTTACATGCCATTGGCAGTTAATCGCCGCAGAATGACGGTTACGCTGTTTGGTAATATCAACTATTTTTTTTGTATTATGTACTCGTGAATGAGAACCTTCATAACTACGGCGGCGAATACCTGAATGTAGTGTTACAAATTGAAAGTTGAAAAAATCGATTAGTTAGTTAGTTAATAACTAATCGATTGAACTTTTTAGACACTAACTAATCGAAAAAATAATTAACCAACTAATCGATTGAACTTTTTAGACACTAACTAATCGAAAAAATAATTAACCAACTAATCGATTGAACTTTTTAGAC